TTCTGCGTTCTAGTTCTCAATTCTAGGGCTCTCAGAACCAGAATGCTCTCTGTCACCCTGTGCAGTGCCTACTGTTGTGGCATGTCCCATGCTCTGCATCCTGTGTCCGGCTCTCAGTTTCAGCATGGGCTCTTGCTACACATCTCCTTTCCCTTCTCACCACTGTTTGCATGGCCCACCCACTCTCAGAGCCTGAGGGTGGTTTTGGAATATCTGGCTTCCATCTATCAGGAAGTTGGTGATTTTGTCTGATCACTAGGTGGCGCCAGAGATCTTTTTTAGTATCCTTCCAGAAGTTTTTTCCCCAGTGGGTCTCCAACCCAGGGAATAAGGGAGGGGAGGGTGGAGTGCCTCAAAGGCGTGGGGGTGCTGTGTCTGTCCTGTGCCCTTCCATTGTGGGGATCCCACGTCCGGAATTTTGTGTTACTGTTGTTTTTTGGTTTTTGTTTTATTTTTATTTTATATATTTTTACATCATTTTTTCATTTTTGCACAATGTATGCATTTTCATCTTGATTACAGTCCCCATTCAATTCCCACCCCCCTTGTTTTGATCCTACTCCCTCCTCCCCCCCCACCCTCGTGTGTTTCTGGTTTATAGTTGCTTGTTGATTTTGATTTTTACTTTATTATAAGTAGTCATTTACCTGGTGCTTTATTTAAGTCTTCTAAATTCCTGCTATGAGTGAGACCATCTGTTATTTTTCCTTTTCTTTCTGGCTTATTTTGCTGAGCATGATCCCTTCCAGCTCCATACATGTTGCTGCAAATTGCATGAGTTTATCTTTTTTGATTGCTGAGTAATATCCCATTGTGTACATGTACCACAGCTTCTTGATCCATTCATCTGTTTTGGGCATTTGGGTTGTTTCCACAGCTTAGCTATTGTAAATAGTGCTGCAATAAACATAGGGGTGCAGGTGCCCTTTAAAATTAATGTTTCTGTGTCCTTTGGGTAAATAACTAGGAGTGGAATTGCTGGATCATATGCCTGGTTTTTGATTACTCAATGAGGGTCATTCACCTCGGTGACAGCTCACTGCGTCGCCCCACAATCCTAGGTCATGGGCATGGGGACCTGGGCAGTAGCGATCTGTGTATGCTGTTCGAGTGTGTGTGCACTTTTCCACACAAGCTTACTGGCTGGCCTTTGGCTATTTGCAGGTCTCTCCACGGAGTGGAGTCCTGATCTTCCCCTAATGGCGCTGCATTTGCAATAACCTGGTGCTGTTTGCTCACCTGTGTGGCTATTCCTGCACAGTTCTCCACAGTTCCTGGCCGTGGGGTATAGTGCCTGCAGTAGCTCCTTTCCACTCACTGTCCCATTTCATCTCTTGTTTGTTCTTGTTTTTTGTTTTTTTTTCTCCTTTCTGTTGGTCGCCTGTGCTGGCTTTGTGGGTGGGGGAGTATAGTAGGGTTCTGCTGCTTTCCTTTCTTCTTGTCCTCTTTTATTGCAACCTTCCTCTTCTTGCAGTTTGCTGTGTCCCGGTTCTCGCAGGGACCTGCCGCTTTTCCTCCCTGTAAATCATTTCTATGGGAAAACTTACAGCATTTCTTTATTGCCATGTTGATCTTTCTCTTCTATTGTTGAAGTTGTTTACATATAACTGTTCATAATAGTCTCTGATTATTCTTTTGATTTCTGCTGTGTCTGTTGTAATTTCTGTTCTTTTGTTTATGATCCTATTTATTTATGCTTTCTCCTGTTTTTTCTTTGTGAGCCTGGCTAGAGATTTGTCTATTTCATTTTTTCAAAGAACCACCTTTTGGTTTCATTGATCTTTTGAATTTTTTTAAATTTCTATTTCATTTATTTTTGCTTTGATTTGTATTATTTCCTTTTTACTACTGGTTTTTGGGATTTTTTTTGTTGTTCTTTTTCTAGTTCTTTGAGATAGAGTAGGTTGTTTTTCTGCGTCCTTTCTTGTTTCTTGATGTGTACTTCCGTTGCTATATACTTACTATAGCTTCTTCTATGATCTCCTTTTTAATCCAGTGGTTTTCCAGTAGTGTGTATTTCAATCTCCATGAAGTGGTAGGTTTCCTTGCTTTCTTTTCATGATTTATTTCTAGTTTTATGCCTTTATGATCAGAGAAGATAGATGTAATGATTTTTATCCTAATGTATCTGTTGATGCTTGGCTTGTGGCCCAATATGGGATCTATCCTGGAGAATGATCCATGCGCTCTTGAGAAAAATGTGTACTTGGCATTTTTGGGATGCAGTGTGCTAAGCTGTCTGTTAAGCCCGTGAGGTCTAGATCCTTAATTAGAACTTAAATGTCCTTGCTTATTTTTTTGTCTTGTTGATCTATTCATTGTTGATAGTGGTGTGTTGAAGTCTGCTACTATCTATGTGTTTTCTCTAATGTCTGTTTTCAGAGCTGATAATAATTGTCTTAATATATTTTGTTGATCCTTCATTATGTTGAGTGTTATATCTTCCTGATGTATTATTCCCTTAATCATAATGTAGTGTCCATCTATGTCTCCTTTACCTTTTTTAGTTTGAAGTCCATTTCATCTGATACAAGTATAGCTGTCCCTGCCTTCTTTTTTGGTTCCTTTGCTTGTAGGATTGTTTTTCAACCTTTTACTTTCAGTCTGTGTTTATCTTTTGTAATTAAATGTGTTTCCTGAAGACAGCAGAAACTTGGATTTTGTTTTTTAATACAGCCTTCTACTCTGTATCTTTTTTTCTTTTTGTTTTTAAAGATTTATTTATTTATTTATGCATATAAGCACTGGGGTACAGGCGAGATGTGCGTGGGGTGAGAGAATTCACCGGGGACTGAGTGCAGAAAAGAACAGGGAGATTGACTGAAATATACTGCTGAAGGGAGCAGTGGACAAGAAAAGAGAGGTCTGATGTGCCATGTGTGTTAGCTCCCTGGCCATGGTTGGAACTTTTGCTGTAGTGGCTGTGGATAGCTTCATGGTGCTGAGAACTAACCTGTTGCACCACCAGGGAGGCCCTCTGTTCCTTTTTATTGATGAGCTTAGTTCATTTACATTTAGAGTTAATATTGATACATTGGTGTCTGTATTTGTCATTTTGTTTGTCTTTTTGTGATTTTATTCATTGCCTTATTCTATTTTTCTTGTTCATTCCTCTGTTGGTTTTGGCTTTAGGACTTGTAGTATTTTTTTGTAGTGGGGGTTCAGTAGTAATGAATTTCTGGAGATTCTGTTTGCCTGATAAGGTCCTTATTTTTACTCTGTAGTGGAAATAGAGCTGTGCAGGGTAAAGTCTTCTTGGTTGGCATTTGTTGACTTGGAGTTTGTTGAATATGTCACTTCATTCTCTTCTTGCTTGTAGTGTTCCTTTGGAGTAGTCTGTTGTCAGCTTGATTGGTTTTTCTTTATCAGTTAGCTGTTTCTTCCCCCCCATCAGCTTCATTATTTTTTCCTTGTCTTGGCTCTTAGAAGCTTCGCTATTATGTGTCTTGATGTAGTTTTTCTTTCATTGTGGTAATTTGGTGTTCTTCTCGCTTCTTGTATGTCTGTTTTCATCTCTTTCTTCATTCTTGGTAAGTTCTCTGCAGTTATCTCCTTGAATAGTTTCTCGGTACCTTGGTCTCCTATCCTTGTGGGATTTCTATAACTCATATTTCCTTTCCTCATCATGTCGGATACATCTCAATGTGTTTCCTCATTCTTTTTCCTTCATACTTCTCTTTCCTTTCCATTTTTGGTTCTTTTTACTTCTGTATCTTCGAGAGTACTGATTTGTTCTTTCATTACATTGATTCTGCCTTTTTGTTGCTTTTCCCAGAGTTCTGTAGCTCCTCTATTAATCTTTTAATCTCCTGCACTTCCTTCATTTCCTTCTTAAGCACTCAATTTTATTTTTCTGTTCGTTAATTATATTTCTCATATCATTCTTTTCCTTTTTGTCTTAGGCTTTTTAATCATGGCAATTTTAAATTCTCTACCTAGAAGGCAGAGAAATTCTTCCCTGTCGTTTGTTGAGTTCCAGTGGTTGATTTTCTTTTTGTGGTGTGTCATTCCCCTAAGGCCTTGCTTGGTTATTTGTATTTTTTCCTTCTCCCTGTTGTTTGTTTTTTAATTTTTTAATTTGTTCTATTCATTGGAACACTGTGCTACTGGTACTGGCGAGCATCTCTTTGTGGTGTTCCTTTTGCTATATTGAGAACTGGTGGCCAGATTGTATCCAGCACTGTTATGCCAGATTCCACAAGAGTAGTGATGCTGTGGATATGTTGATGGGCACTGTTTTGAGGATCCCCTCCCTGTGTATTTACTCATTTCCAGAAGGTGACTGTGGGGTCCTTGGCTTCCAACAATAGCTCAGGGGCTGTGTTTTCCTGGTGCCAACAGTTCATGGTGGACCCTCCCTTTCTCTACTCTGTTCCTATACATGGGTGTGAGGCCTACAGGAGCCTTGCATGGTGCATGCGTGCTATTCTACTCACCTTTGTTTTTGGAGCCCACCCTCTCTCTAATTTATATAGTTTCAATAAAAGAGCCATTTATGGAAATATTTATTTGGGTTTTCATATTTTGTCTATGCCAGTTACTTTTTCAGTTATCTGACCTACTGGACATTTAAGTAGTTGTATATCACTGAGTCATTAAATGGTAGTATTTAAAATAGCTCTTGAGGTTTACCTTTTTTTTGTCATGCCCTACAATTTACAAGGCTTAATTAACTCTTTACTTTTTCTGCTTCCACCTCGTGAGTCATACTGCAGTGAGGGACTTAAGACTCTTTCTTGGCAGTTGATGTTTCTTTTTCCTATTGCCACTTAGTTGGAAAGGAACACTGAATCATAGCTTATACATGCAAAAAATATCCTAGGGGTGGTGGTGGTATGTCTCTATGTGTTAAAAACAGGCAAATTGGGATACTAATATCTTATAAAACTGTGCTAGAAAGAAGGAGTTTTTGTTAATGAATTATGTGACTTAAGTGGTAATTGGATTATTCACAGAATATTGCAACTGCATTTGTGTATTCTTTTGTTTTCTTTTTATAGGATGAAGGAGTTGTTAAAGAAATCCCTATTACTCATCATGTTAAGGAAGGATATGAGAAAGCAGATCCTGCACAGTTTGAGTTGCTCAAGGTTCTTGGTCAGGGATCCTTTGGAAAAGTAATGAATGCTTTTTCCTATATGTGTTTTTATTTTTATCATTTAACAAAAAGTGTATATATCCATAGAAATCTGATAAGTGTGCATTTCTAAATTTGTCAAAGGATACACAAGAAGGTAACTAATTTTATTCCTTTTATTTCTGTCATATTTTTGGTCATATTTCTTTATACTTCTCTATAATAATAAAAGTTTTCTAATCTCCTGGGCTCCCTGATTTCTGTAGTAGTAAATATGACATTTATCAAACAAAGTAGTTTGATATTGGGTAAAAAATGGTTATCCATATTTCCCTGTTCATATGTTAGCATGATCACAGCTTGCTTTCTCCTAGTATCTTACCTGTATTTTTTAACTCTATCAGAGATGTCCATATTTCATATGAATTCACCTGTGGATATATGAGTTTATTATCTGTTAAAGTACTATGTGTTTAAAGTAGAGCAAGGGTAAGTACTGGGTGACATATGGCTTATGTAAAAGTGCTGCATTCAAGAAGCTTACATTTTAAGGGAGAAAGCATTATCAAGAAACATTAATTCTCACACTCATTATTGGAAATGTTTATGAAGTTCTTAATGAATATGATTCTTAAAAAAGAAGTATCTAAGCCTGATTTCTAAATTTTGTATACCTGATGTCTAGTACATGAAAACTGGTACATTTACACAATATATCCTTCTGAAAACAGCAACAATTTAAGGGGGAGAACGATACTAATTTCTAGGAGAAAATACTAAGGAGAAAATACTAATTTCAGGGTAGACAAGGTTTAGTTTTAAATGGAAAAAAGGCAACAGAATAGTGATTATTAAGGTCTGGAAAATTGTAACAGAAAGACATTTATTGAATGTCTGGTGTTTGCAGAATAGTTGTAAAAGAGTATCAATGAATATAAATAGACATTAATTATCTTAAAGTAAGTTGATATCTATGCTGTATAGAATATGACATGTAAAATATAAAGAAATATTTTCACAGTGTATAAAGGATAAACCAAAGTAGATTATAGCTTGCTAGTGAATTTGTACAGGAGATACATGAAAACAAGGAGTACAAGGAATAATACCCTGTTCACAAATGCATTGGCCTATAGGTCTTCTAGAAATGATACACAAATGAAGATTTAAATTTTCTGCCAGATATTATAAAGAACTTAATGTAATTGTATTATTGACAGTTGCTTTAAGGTAGAACCATATCAAGCATATTAGAGAAATTTTTCTCATGTGAATTCATAAAGATAATTCATAATAACAATGAAATGTCTTCAATAACATCATCATGTTAAAGATAGCAACAAATTGATAAATTATCAGTGTAGTCCTTAAAGTCGGACTATTCAGCTTTGGGAATAAACTTTGGTTTAACATGGATATCATAGAAGCCTTTATAAAATTTCTAATATTAAAATACAGAATAGTGATTTTTTTTAAAGATTTATTTATTTACACATACAAGAGCTGGGGTACAGGCCAGAGATGCGGGGTTGAGAGGATTCACCAGAGACAGAGCAGGGAATAGAACAGGCAGACTGACTGAAATGCACTGCTGAGGGGAGCAGCAGACCAGACAGGAGAGGTCTGCTGCGCCATGTGGGTTGCTCTCTCGCCGGCCTGGGATCGAACTCGTGCTGCAGAGACTGCAATTGCTTCATAGTGTGGTGCTTAACCCCTTGCGCCACCAGGGAGGCTCCCATAATAGTGTTTTTAATGCAGTTAATCTATGTAAGAAATATTAAGGAGGTGACATTTTTATTTTTTTACTTCCTACCATGTGAACATACTTTTTTCCTTATTACATCTTTTGCATAGACATTGAGTAGATGTGACATGTCATATGCTGAAATGCTTCAGGAATTGGCCAAGGTTGTGCATCAGACAAATGCAGGAGCAAGTCCAAAAAACTTTGAGCCACAGTCTTAAGATTTTCTGTGAAAGTTTCATTGATAAAATGCCTTAAGTGGAATTTTAGCCTATATAAAACTTGACGCATTAAATAGTTTTGTAGTCTATTTAATAGAAGAAAAAAACACTGCTAGGGTCACTTGTAAAATTAATTTCCACTAATTTATTTTAATTTTAATTTGCCACTTCATCTACGTTTTTTCCTTATCGTACCTATATAGGTGAAATCATCCAGCCATTGTCTTTATCTTTCTGGATAGCTTTGCTTTGCATAATCCCCTCAAGTCCTTCCATTTTGCTGCAAATAGCAAAATTTCATCTTTGCTCACAGCTGAAGAGAATTCCACTGTACATATACCATATCTTCTTTTTCCAAATTATTTAGCATTGGGCATTTAGATTGATTCCATATGATATCAATTATAAATAATGCTGCAGTAAACATTGTGGAACTACAGTTTTTTGAGTTGATGGTTTCATGTTCTTCCAATAGATACCTGGGAGTAGAATTGATGGATCATATGGTATTTCTATTTTTAGATTTTAAAGAATGATCTAGACAGCTTTCCAAATTGACTGAATCAATTTACATTTCCACCAACACTGTATCAGGGTTCCTCTTTTTCCACATCCCTGTCAACACTTCTTGTTGGGAGGCTTTTGAAGTATGTCATCTCCAAGCTGTGAGATGATAGCTCATTGTGATTTTGATTTGCATTTTCCTAATTGGAAGTGGCGATGAGCATTTTTTTTCATGTTTGTTGGCCATCAGTATACCCTTTTTGGAAAAGTGTCTCTTAAGATATTCCTCCAGTTTTATAATAGGGTTGCTTATGTTTTTGTTAAGTTGGATGCGTTCTCTTTATATCATGGATTTTTGGGTTTTGTGATATGTAAATATTTTTTTACATTCAATAGGCTTTTTTAAAATCGAGGTAACATTGGTTTACAACATTGTTTGTAATTTAGAGTTATAGGATCTCCCTTTTCAGGTGTTTTTACCAAACCACATTGACCACAAAAGTAGTAATAGTCTTCCATCATACACCATTGTGCTCCCTCCCTACTTGATATTCTTGCCTTACCCTCCCCATATAGTAGCCTCATTTTTGCAGTGAGATATCTAGTGCTGTTGCTTTGGCTTTATCTGACCATTTGTTTTGTTTCTCTATATTCCACTTAATAGGAGACACCATTTAGTATTTGTCTTTCTTCTTATGACTTATTTTGCTTATTCAGTATAATCCCCACTCCCCAGTTCTATACATGTTATCTCATATGGCAAGAGGATATCTCTTTTCTTGATAAGACAAACATTATTTATTTTGTTATCTGAACTTTAATTTTTATTTTATGAGCTACCATTGTTTCACTTTCTAGTTAATATTCTAACAATATAGAATTTCTCTCCTCAGATGTGGTCACCCATAGCATTCCCAAAGTCCTCCTCCATAGTCCATTGAGCTCTTTTCTGCACCCCATTCTCACCCCTCCTCTTCACCTTTTGGATGCCTCAGATCTATGGTTAGCTTTCAAGGTTTGCTTTAATGTTTATCTTTAAATGTCTGTCTGATTTCTCTATATTCTACATATAAGTGCCAATACCTGCTGTTTATCTTTCTCCTAGCTTATTTTGCTTACATAATCCATTCCAGCTTCATCCATGTTAGCAGAAATGACATCAGTATATCGTTTTTGATTACTGAGTAGTATTCCATTGTGTATCTATACCATATCTTCTTGATCCATTCATCTGCTTTGGGGCATTTAAGTTGTTTGCATATCTTGGCTATTGTAAATAGTGCTGCAATAACCACACAAGTGCAGGTTTCTTTTTGAATTGTTTTTGTGTCTTTTAGGTAGATTCCTGGGAGTGAATCACTGGGTTATATGGTAGATCCGTTTTTAGTGTTTTGAGGAACCTCCAAACAACATTCCATAGTGACTCAGCCTGTCTACATACCCACCAGCACTTGATACCTGGGGCCTTTTAATATAGGTCATTCTCATTGGTGTGAGGCACTGTCACATTGAGATTTTGATTTGCATTTCCCTAATGATAAGTGATGATTAACATTTTTTCATGTGCCTGTTGGACATCTGTATGTCATCTTGGTAAAGTGACTATTTAGTTCCTCTGCATGTTTTGTGATTGGGTTGTTTTCTTCTGTTTGTTGTCTAAGTTTTTTGTAGATCTTTGGTATTAGTCCCTTGTTACATGTTTGGTGGGAAATACTTTCTCCCATTCAGTAGGGTATCTCTTCATTATGGTTAAAGTCTCCTTTGCTGTATAGAAACTTTTTAGTTAGCTGTGGTCCTAGCTGTTTATATTCTCTGTTGCATTACTTGCTTCTGGAGATAAGTCCTTAAAGATTTTTCTGAATTTTATGTCATGGAGTGTTTTGCCTGTATTTTCTTCTGTATATTTTATGATTTCTGGTCTTAACATCCATATATTTTATCCATTTTGAGTTGATTTTTGTGTGTGGCATAAGGTCATAGTCTGATTTCATTCTTTTGCATGTGGCAGTCCACTTTTACTAGCACCATTTATTGAAGAGACTTTCCTCATTCCAGTATATATTCATTTCTCCTTTGTTATAGATTAGTTGACTATATATGTGTGGTTTTATTTTTAGGCTTTCTATTCAGTTCTGTTGGCCTGTGTGTCTTTTTGTGTCTCAGTACCATGCTGCTTTTATTATTATAGTTTTATGGTAGAGTTTGACATCTGGGAGTGTCATACCTCTTTTCGTCCCTTTTATGTTAACATATGTTCCTTTTATCCCAAGTTTTTCAAGGGTTTTCATCATAAGTGAATGTTGAGCTTTATCAAGTGCTTTCTTAGCATATATTATTATGATATGTTTTTAATGTTTCTTTCTGTTGATGTGGTTAATTACATTATTTGATTTTCAGATATTGAACCATCCTTGTGTCCTTGGAATAAATCCCACTTGGTCATGGTATATAATCTTTTTGATGCACTGTTGGATTTGGTTTGCTGAGATTTTATTGAGGATTTTTGTAGCCATGTTCATTAGCACAATTGGTCTATAGTTTCCCTTTTTTGTGTTCTTTTTGTTTGGTTTT